CGTACCGTCACGTTTAGAGTCAACATCACGTCTCTCGTTACGCGTCTACGGTTTTGATAGTCAGTTATATCTAGTGAGATCGGGCTACAGTACCCTTTCGTATCAATATTAAACCATATAGAATCCGTGAACCGGCATAAATTCTATTACGGCCTTTAGTTTCAACCGACTTACCCCCGCATCGCCAGTGCGTCAACATCGAGCAACAACATTTTAGGTATTTATAATTATTCTTTGGACGCGACAAACATACACAGAACACTTGTATCTTTCTTGTTTGTTTTAAGAATATATCTAGTTTCATTATTAAATCAGAGTTACTTATCTTCTCTAACCCATCATTATATAAAGCGATTATTGTTAGTTAAACGTTCCCACAATAATATAACCTTACCGCTCGGGTTATATTATATTTAATAATTGAAAGTTACGAGGTCAATTAACATATACCGAATCCAAATACAAATTCTTACAACCTAGTGGCTCCTCGATTACGCATCGAGTTCGTCCACGCAATTTATTACCATCCTAGCGGCTCCCTGATTTCGCATCAGGTTCGTCCGTATCCTACAGCTCCCTGATTTTGCATCAGGTTCGTCTGTGACTTATCCAACCTCCCAGCAGCTCCTCGACTACGCATCGAGTTCGTCTGTGTTTGTTCCAACCTCCTAGCAGCTCCCCGATTTCGCATACGGGTTCGTCTGCGTCGTTATCAAGAATCCTAGTGACTCCCCGATTTCGCATCGGGTTCGTTCACGACGTTTCACCCTCCAACGGCTCCCTGGTTTTGCACCAGGTTCGTCCGTACGTGACTCCATCCTAGAGGCTCCCTGATTTCGCATCAGGTTCGTCCTCGTTACCAACCATCCTAGCGGCTCCCCGATTTCGCATCGGGTTCGTCCGTGCACCTAATTAACAAATTGATACCATATTCCATACTCTCCTTCGCACTCGCAGGCCACGCACGCTGCACGGCCCTGGCTCGTAACAACTGACAACGAAATATTCGCGTATTGTGTTCCTTCGGACGGAACACATTGAGTCTTATATTAAATAAAAAGGAAACAAATCCGCGAATTTCACGCTGGGCTTTGGAAATGCAAAGCTACGATTATATTTTAGAACATCGACCGGGGTCGAGGATGATGCATGTGATGCCCTTAGTCGTCAGGTATTAGTTATTGAAGATAATACATTTGATCGAGCACTCAGTCAGGATAGCGACAAAGTTATTAAAGAGATACGTATGAGATTGGAAACGGTTGAGGATAAACATTATGAGTTGAGAAATGGTTTAGTGTATCGGAAAATCAAGGGACAGGTTTTGTTTTATGTTCCATATTCTATGGAACACAGCATATTACACGCATATCACAATGAGATGGGTCACATTGGACCGGAAAAGACAATGCAAAATATTCTTTCTACTTATTGGTTTCCGAATATGAGAACGAAAGTGAACGCTTATGTTTCGTCTTGCCTTAAGTGCATTGCATTTTTACCAAAGTCAGGAAAGTCCGAAGGAATGTTGCATAACATACCCAAGGGGCATATGCCATTTGACACTATTCACATAGACCACTTAGGCCCGTTGTCGAAATCGCCCTCCGCCCGAAAGAGACATATATTTTTAGTAGTGGATGGGTTTACAAAGTATTTAAAACTTTATGCGACGAAAACAACAAATACTGCTGAGGTTATTAAGTGCATGAAACAATATTTTGCGCATTATAGTAAGCCGTTACGTATTGTCTCGGATCGGGGTAGTAGTTTTACGTCACATGAATTCGTGGAGTTCATGAAGGATAACGATATTCAGCATGTTAAGATTGCGACTGCGTCGCCACAGGCGAATGGTCAAGCAGAACGTATGAATCGGACCATTATACCGATAATCGCGAAATTGAGTGACGAGAAAGAAACAAAATGGCCGAATGTATTAGAGGAAGTGGAGTATGCCGTGAATAATTCGATAAATCGATCTACGGGGGAATGTCCAAGTGTATTGTTGTACGGAATTTTACAGCGAGGAAAAGTACTCGATAGTCTTAGGGATTACTTAAACAAACAGGAATGCGTAGGCAGGGTTCGTAATCTTTCAGAAATTCGTACAAAAGCGGTTGAACGCACATTGTTAAGTCAGGAACGCAATAAGATCAATTACGATAAGAAACATAAACTGGCTACAACGTATCAAGAAGGTGATAAGGTCATGATCAAGAATTTTGATAGTACTCCAGGAGTATGTAGTAAATTAATACCTCAGTTTAAGGGACCTTATGAAATCGCAAAAGTATTACGTAATGATCGATACGTTGTGAAAGATGTTGACGGGATTCAGTTAACTCAAACACCTTACCAAGGTACATGGGGAGCAGCTACATGCGTCCATAGAAACCAAGATCGACTTAGCTGTAGTTTTTTTATTGAATGTTTAAGATCACATGCGCCTTTAGTTGTAGTTGTATTAACGTCCGTTATGGGTAGTTGTTATAAATATATTTTGGTTTATCTAAGTTTGTAATCGAATATTGTAAGTTAATCGGGACGATTAACAGTCAGGATGGTCGAATTGTAGGCGAGAATAGAAACTCGAGCCGCGTGTTTATGGAAGGGCCGCTACGACGGGTTCGAGCGCGCAACCGAGATAAAGATAAGGTATCGATGAAGTATCGACAATGTTTATTTTAAAGAGAAAACGGAATAAGTCTGCACGCGTCCGGCGAGCGACTGGAAACGCTACAGTCAGGCAGTCTTGTCGCAGTTACGAAGGAGGACGGATGTATTCTCTTAAGAATAAACTTGTACATATTCAGTTTTTAAATCCGTTTACCTCCCTTTTAAAGTACTCCTTCTCATTTCGAATTCTAAAATATGTTTAAGGTATTATTTTCTTGATTAAATTGATAACATATAAGTTTGAAATGACCTAGATCTATATCTAACATAAATAAAAATGTGAGTGTTGCAATAATGTAACTTCGGTGCTTTAATTTCTTCACGAGCATAAAAGATAATTAATTGAACAATGATTGTTCTACTAAAATATGTTCTAAAGGCATTGTTGTTCCTGCCTACTCACTGCAACTGACAATAATTAAGTTGCGTAATACATAATTATTATTATCAGAAATAAAACTTGTGTAGGCTCCCACTATGTTCGTGGAGCCGTTTTATTTAGTAAATAGTAGGTTTAATACTATTTACAACACTTGAATTTATTTACAAATATGTACATGTGTTAACAGTTTAATTTTTAATGTTCTTGGTTCGATTCTAATTTGTAACGGTACTTATGGTGTTCTAACTCGTAAAGCGTTATGTCCTGCGATTTTATACCTATTCCAAAATAGGTGGAGATTCGGTGTCGCCAATCAAACCCTTACCTATCCCTCGTGGGCCGGTCCTCCGACATTCGACATCCCACCACCGAGGGTGGTACAGGAGTGGGTGTCCGTGATCCGAAGGGGTAGGTATGGTCCCAAAATACGGTGCTCAAAAGCTTAATAGTACGGCAACTTGCTTTGTACCCATAAGGTACTTGTCAAATTGTTAATTAAGTAATTTAAACTAATATTAACTAAATAAGGAGTCCGCTAATAAGTGTTGGAATTCCCAACAATATTACTATCTTTAAACTTCAATATGTAATAAATCAATCAGTTATACATTATTTGCTTGACAGTTACGCCTATAAACGATTGTTGGCCCAACGCGATTATGAATTGAGGCGAAACACCCACGTACCAAATCCCATTTTCACAATTGATAATTTTTTCATTTAAGAAACTTTTTTCTATGATTATTAACGAATTTCGAATTTTATCTGGTTTCTTTCTGCAATCTGAACTTCCTCTGTATTGCATCGCTGAATTCGGACGATTTCGAAACAAATTAACCATCGTTACGGATCTACATATTTTGCATTATTCCCAGAATTAAATTTTAAACATAATCAACTAGATCAAAGTATCAGGCATGAGATTCTCGATAAAATCTCAATTTTATCACGCAAAGAAATGAGAATTTCAGTAAGAAATGACATTCTACTTGAAGGAGTGATAAGAACTTGTGTCTATTATTAAGACTTGAAATTACATTCAATTCAGGAACTTGATTAATTTAACAAAAATAATAATTTCGTGAGAAATTCACATCAAATGTACGAATGTCCATGTTCTTGTAGGCACAATTATACTCCACATAGTAAGTTTGCATTGGTTGCTCTTACGATACTGTCGTAGCAAAGTTCTTTACATGCTGTACAGATTCGCTGCTTTAAGTGTTCTTTATTTTCTATTGGAGCAACATAAATTATCTATTAGAAATGACCCTGTAAGAACAAATCAACTGGTATCAAATTAGGTGATTGTGGTGACCAAGTAATAGGGCCATAAGTGCCTAATCAATAATGTTCTCCAAACGTTGAGTTTAGGTAATTACGAACGATTTGCGCATTATGAGATGGGCAAACATATTCCTGGAAATAAATATGCTACTGAATATCTTCTGGAAGCCCTTGCATCAATCTTTGAATTGTCGACAGTTCGTAACAGCAACCAATTCAAACTTACTAAGTAAAGCGGAATTGTGGCTACAAAAACATGGACTTCAATTCGAACATTTGATGCGACTTTCTCACGAAATCGTTTGTGTTAATTTAGTCAAGATTCCTGAATTGAATGTAATTTCGAGTCTTAATAATAAACACAAGTTCTTATCACTCCCTCAAGCAGATTGTCATTTTTTGCTGAAATTTTAATTCCTTTGCCTTCAAGGTCATCCGAAGGTCATGTTGTACTAGGTCGTTGATTTCGACTTGATACGGCCTACAATACTGTTAAGTCAAAAATATAAAGTGCCATTTAAAAAAATGAAGATGGCCCCGACAATAATAAAAAAAAATTCGAACGTTTTTTTGATTGCAATGTATAGCCAATCGAAAACAGATTAGCTTTTCTCTAAAATATTTTTTATCAGATTAACGCGAGTACACTCGGTATATGCATTATACTTCATATATTAAATACATACTGAGGTTTTCGACCCATGAGGTATGTCAACATATCAACAATTGCTGCTGGTACTATGTGGAAGAAAAAACTATACAGTTGATACACAACGAAATATCGTGCCATTATGAACATATAATACCAAACAATTTTTACACTAGGTACTGCAAAACCATACTTTTCATTCCATTTCATAAATTCTATCCAAGAAATTGGATTCTGACATGATGATACAGAATTATAAATAGGTATTCTTTCCTCATCAGATATATTGGAATCATTTGATTTTATCGAAGATTTTCTATAGAGTATAAGAATTACCATTAGGATTATGCTTTAGACATATTTACTTTAACTGTAATTTTGTCTACCACTTTCAATTTGTCCTCATCTATAGTTTATATTCATAATAATAGTAGTATCGTCATCTTTTTATTCTTTTCTATTTACAGCAGAACAATATTAGTTCATGCTTTAATTATATATAATCGAAAGTAATTAAACAAATTAGATTTTCAGTCCCAGTTTTAAAGTGATAATGCAATTAAAGACTTACCTATTGGCAATATCCCAAGCAGCACAGATGACATTAGAGATTACATAATCTGCTGGTATAATTTCTGCTATATTTTCTGCTACACAATGTAGTGTATGCACCAAACCTACAATAGATCCCATAGCTACACCCGTTGCTCCATACAGATTATTTGTCCATCCTGAAAGTGGCTCTTCGCTTGTTGATATCATGATAGAAGGTCGAACAATACATACTGGGAGCTTATTGCTGTACTTTAATACAATACTTTCTCCAAGTGCTTTAGAAAATACATATGTATTGGGCCATTTATCATTTATGTTTAAATAACGCGTTAATTCGTTATTAAGAAACGGCGGTTAAATTCTCGCGTGATCTTTTGAAAAAAAGGGGACATTTCTTATACGGTGTTGTCCTCAGTGTTCGCGACATTCGAGAGCCTTCTCTGCGTCGTAACCTGCTTCGGGAGCAATACCGTGTAGAAAAAATCCAAATTTACCTTCAATCATAGTCACGCGATCGGCCCAGTAACGGTTCCATGAGAACAGGTGTTACTACGCCGAAATAACAGAGAGGATTCAAAATTAAAACGAGACAGACAATTTCCCCTCTCGCGATCGCGGATAAGAGGGTCTGTCTCGACAATCACTTGCTATCTGGTTCTCGACGAGTTCGCTTCTTCCAAGCCGACCTCGTCCAACACCGCGATCACGATATACGCGCAATTAAATCCGTTTAATTGTATAGTTACACCACAGAACCGAAACGGAACGAAATTAAGACTGTGGTAAATTCGAAAGAATTAACCTAGTCGGATTTCGTACCTCACGGTTTCGTGAGTTTAGTGATCGTTGTGTGTACAGAACCGTTCTGGAAAAACGCAGCATTGAAACAATTTACAGTGAACAACCGGTGGCTGATCATAATCGTGTGTGCACTTCAATAGTGTTCGATTATCGCCACCGTTGTGTCAATTGTTTCAAATCATAAGCGATTTCCCACATTAACAACCGGTGGCTGATAACAATCGTCGTAACATTTAAATAGTTGAGGGGTTGCGTGTTAGGATAAAATTAGGTTTTAAATAAATCGCCGTAGTTCGCCTTGTGTTCTTTATTGTCAGTGTTGTCCACTCCAAGTCGTGGCGAAGACTGAGTTCTACATTTTCCTTTTTCTCCTTCGAACTGTTTGCAGCCACCTAATTGGTTGAACCGATATGTCGAAGTTAACCAATTAGGCATTTTGCAATTCGGAAGTCGCCGCCTACTCCTTGCGCCCTTGACGCGCTTTTTGAGGAAGGCGACGCGACTCGGTGGGGGGTACCTCTGTCGACGGAAGTTTGGCAATGCAGCGGAATTTCCTACAGGTCTAGGCCTGGTGATGTCACCCGCCGAGAGTCGCTTGACTCGGCCTTGCAGCCCTTCGGAAATCCATGGTTTATGACATGTGCAATATGCCACTGAGGCCGTTCGAGACTTTCGACGAAAAACATGCCAAGTAATAAAACGCTTAAGAAACGGCTTTCTCAAAAGTGGCCTTTTCGACTTTGCTTGTCGTAAACCATGCTAGCATTTGCACACCCAGATGTTTCTTTTGTTGCGCGAGCTAGCCGCTACATAGTGTTCGATTGTCGCCACCGTTGCGTGGAAGGCACGTACCGCTGTAATCAGCTGTCGTGCAACGAGAACCGAGAAAACCTTCTCGGTTTTCCTTGAATTTTTGTGCGATTCAAACACTCGGATAGGGGCCTTTTGGCGTATACCCTGAGTGGGATTGTCGTTTCCGAGGGTCGAAATCTCAGTTTGAGTACCACCCCCATAGGGGCCTTATTCGGCGTATTCCCTGGGTGCTCTCGGCTGAATTCGATTAGCTCGAACGTCGGTCACTCATCACCAGTGTGTACGGACACTCGGTGTAGAGCGACGTTCAAAAGGGCGCCGTGGTGTAAGCACCTTAACCTTCAGACGCTTCTAGCGCAGTTAAGGGCTTGCATCACACCGGTCCCGTACGGACCAGGAAACGACGCTGAATCACGGAGTGGACAATTTTGGAGCCTTACAACCTCCAACTGTTGTCACCTCCAGCCAAAATTCAAGCTAGCAGCAGTGGGAAGATCGAGGCTCAAATCTTGTCTTCCCCATCTGCTGTTATAAAATTTTCCAGAACTGCAGTCGAACGTTTCTCGATCACACGAGAAACGTTTAAGTATACAGTCCACTAACACAGTTGCGTATCGCTGTGAAGGAATCCCGCTCCTGTTTATCATAAACAGAGACAGGAGCGTGTGGATTGACGCGAGTCAGACAACGCGACGAGCGTTGTCACATATTTTCAACCAAATTTCGGTCTCTTTTGTTGCAGAAGACCGAGACGAGAGCCGTAGTGGCCTACGGCGCGGCCAGGTTTTTTACGAGCCCAACCAGAGCTCGTTTTTTCCTGGTGGTGGATTTTTTTTAAAATACAAATTTCTTCTTTTGTTTATTTAATTTTTGGTTTTTATTTTGTTTAATTTTCACATTTTTAAATAAACGGCCTAGTCCAAGAGACTAGGCGAAAGAAATTTGCAAGTGTACCATTCACTTTCCCACACATTCCCACTCCCTCGTAATTCGGACACCTCGTTAAAGGGTGAGAGCGACATTAACTCGCACCTATTTTAACAATCAAGTATACTACAATAATGGAAAATTTATAATTAATCATTGTTATCTCTACTGTAACTTTCTTATTTGCAGAATTAATTTTTAATCCATTTTGAATTAATTCTTACACTGGAGTAATTTTCTCCAGTTTATCATCATCCAGAACATCCAACAATGTTAATATCTTATCACTAGACTGCGGATCTTTATGCAAATTCACATTTTTATTAATAGAATTAATGAAACGAAAGCTTCGCAGAGGGCTGTCTCAGCCCCTAAATATAATAATTCGTATCTTACTTTAAGTATTTCCCATATTTTTGCATATTAAATGGATTCTGTAGTTTTTTGAGGATTAAAATTTCCCATAAATGCATAAACATCCGCAGTCTACTTATCACCATCGATGGGAACTTTGTAATGTATTTCATCGATAGATTTAAGTATACAATGTGAGAATGCAGTTGACACGTGTACAAACGCCTGCACAATGATTTATAAATACAGTTTATGTAATTCAAATTCTAAATAATATTATTTCAACTGTTAATAGTTATTTATATTTTTTATTTAATATTTAAACGTGTGAAACGTACCTTTAAATTTGGCAATTCTTTTGCAAATAATAACATATATTTTTTACTTTTCACGTTGGTATTCATCGCTACACGAAATATTTCGTCAAATCGAACAGTTGCGGCAGCATGAAAAATAATATTTGTATTCATCAGAATCTTTTTACTTTCCGGTGATAAACCAAAATCTTGTTGTGCCGCATCACCTTCTAACATTATTACTTTATTGAGAAAGTTTGGCTGTTCACGTCTCAATCTACTGAATTCCTGATTACAATGACATATCAATTATTACTGTTCAACTATGTATATACATATATCATTACATCTATATTACATACAATTCCATTAAAATTTTCTTTAAATCGTTCTTGTGAATTTTTCCCCTTTTTCGGCCTTACTATCATGTATATTGTCGCAACATCTGGACAGGATCTGTAAATATTGTTGCGAGCACCCTATGAAGAGATCCATGGCTCACTGGTAGCCGCGAGTGAGACAAGCGACGGCGGGGAGGAGACGATCGAATCGATCGACCTGTCAAGCGAAGACTTGGAGAAGGAACGCGATCGTGAACTGACGTATTCGAGTGCCGAGTTTTCTTTGCTGCAATATTTATTGTTGTTTTCTGTTGATGCTTGTTTGAGTTCTGTTGTATATTAAAGTTTCGTTTATGCCAAACCGGAAACGTAATAGTGGTGTCAGAAGTGGGATGCCCGCTCGTAGTGGCATGCCCACTCGCGCATCCGCGGCCTGTGCGGAGCCTTCCCCTGGAGCGACGGGCGACGGGTCTCTGCGGGAGTTATTCACCACCCTACAACTGAGCATCGTTGGACAGATGCGGGAGCAGCGTAGGGACGACGAGGCCCGGTGGAGGGAGAAGGACGCCAAGGACCGGCGGGCACGGGCGGCTTTCGAGGGCCGTTTGTCGGACATGGAGGAGCGTATACAGGTCGTAATCGCCTCGTTACAGACCGGCCAAAGTTTGTTCGGTAGCGGCGCGGACTCTCGGGGTGGGGAGAATGTGCCTGTTGTAAATAGGGTTGTGAATGGGGTTGTAAATAGTGTTTTCCCGGCGTGTGACCCCGCACCCGTTAGTGCGGTCGCCGCTGCCCCTGTTCCGGAATCGCGCGTCTTCAGTCTGGGATACGTTGTGAAGCCGCCGACGTTTGACGGGAAAAATTCGTGGGAGGAGTACAAGGTGCAATTTGAGACGATCGCGCGCGCGAACGGTTGGAACGATCAAAAAAAAGGGACGGCTTTGGTCGCTGCCCTCGAAGGGTCGGCGAGGAGCGTCCTCACAACGCTCTCCGCTGCCCAATGTGGGAGTTTCGCGGAATTGGTTTCGGCGCTCGAATTCCGCTACGGGGCGAAAAATTTGTCCAACTTGAATTACGTACTCTTCCAGGGCCGTAGGCAGCGAGGAGATGAAAGTATCTCCTCGCTAGCCACCGAGATTGAGCGATTGGCGCAGTCTGCTTTCGCTGACTGTCCGGCGGAGACTCGCGATAAGCTCGCTGCGTCTCAATTCGTGACGGCATTGTCGAGCCCAGACATGCAACGGGAACTGCGACTCGGCGGTTTCACGTCTCTTAGGGCCGCCGTGACCAGAGCTCTTGAGATCGAGGCTGTTGAGACAATGTCGCGCGGTTCCGCGGCCGAGTTGTGGGAGCGTTACTCGGAAAAACGGAAGGCTAAACCTTTCAACGCTTTTGAAGGGTTTCCGGCGAAGCAGCGGAGGCTCGAGGAATCCGGGGATCGATTGGACGACACGCTGAGGGCCCTGAAGTGCTGGCTCTGCGGCAAGACGGGCCACCTTCGCAGGGACTGCTCCAAAGCCAGGAGCGGCCAAGCAGGACCAGCTCCTGCCAGGAAGCCCTTCGGGGGAAACGGGGGAAGAGCGGCGTAAGGGGGAGACGCCGGTCTGTAAGGAGCAGTTCCCCGGTCGTCAAGAGCGTGGCGATGCAGGAGGCGGCTGGCCGTCAATGGAGCCCAGCCAACGGGATTTCCGTGTGTGGAAAAGTCGGTGGGAAACCTTGTAAGATAATCCTAGATACAGGTTCTCCCATCAACCTTTTGGATCAAGGGCTGTGTGCGTCGACGCATATCGCCCGAGCAAAGCTCGACATTCGCTCTACCACTGGAGAGAAAATGAGGGTGTTTGGTAAGAAAAGCTTAGGGGTTAGCGTGGGAGGACTCTCGAGCGTGGAAGATTTCTACGTTGTCGACATGGTGGAAAAGTGCATCCTGGGAGCAGCGTTCCTGAGGAAGCATCGTTGCAGCATTGACTTGTCCCGGAATGTGCTGAGCCTTCCCGGCATGCCGGAGATACGTTTTTATGAGCCTGCTGCCCAGGAGAGGGCGGTGGACGTGAGGGAAACGCTCGTAATGGAAGCGGTCGTACCTCAGCATTTGGAGGAGTTGTATACACGCTGTTCGTTGGGCTTGACGGAAAGACAGAAAAAACTATTCACTGGTTTACTCCGTGAGTTCCGGGACGTTTTTGCCACGGATTCGACTCGGATCGGGAACTGCGACTGGGTGAAGCACACTGTCGATACTGGGGATTACCGCCCCATCAAACAGGCGCCGCGGAGGTTGCCTTTACACCGTCGAGCTGAGGCGGAGGAACTACTCAGGAAGATGTTGGCGCAGGGCATTATTGAAGAGTCGAGGAGCCCGTGGTCTTCTCCGATCGTCCTCGTCAAGAAGAAGGATGGGACCATGAGGTTCTGCGTTGACTTCCGGCGCCTGAATGAGATCACGAAGAAGGACTCGTATCCTCTGCCCCGTATTGAGGATACCCTGGACGCCCTCGCCGGGTCTTCGTGGTTCTCAACTGTAGATTTACAGAGTGGCTACTGGCAGATCTCCATGGACGTAAAGGACAGGGAGAAGACGGCCTTTTCAGTTGGAACGGGGCTCTGGCAGTTCAAGGTGATGCCCTTTGGGCTTTGCAACGCCCCTGCGACTTTCGAACGCTTGATGGAGGACGTACTTCGAGGTCTCACGTGGAAGATTTGCCTGGTTTACCTGGACGACATCATCATCTACGGGAATGACTTCGAACAGGAGCTCGAGCGTCTCCGAACAGTGTTTTCCCGTCTACGTCAAGCCGGACTACTGATGAGCCCCAAGAAGTGTTCCTTTTTCTGCCGGGAAGTGAAGTACCTAGGACACATCGTCACCGAGAGCGGAGATACGTGGAGTGTCGGGTTCCGGCAGTCAGATGACTGGATTTTCCCGCCCGTCTCGTCCCAGGAAGAGAACGTATCGCTGAAGAAGACGGGACCTCTCTTACAAGCAAGAAGAGCGCAAGCCCGAAGGCGCAAGAGAAGGGTTGGGACGAGGAGAATTTTCGGGGAACCACGTACCCACGCCTTGCCCAGGGTTTTTGGGTGGTTTTCCCTTGGGCGTGAAGGCGAATGTCGAGGCGACAGTCGGAAGAGGCCACGCAGCGTCCTTCCCACTCTTCCGTACTTGGGTACGGCAGCGACCGACGGAGGAGCTGCAGCGATCGGGACGATCGCTTCTCGAGAGGGGGAAGCAGTGTTGCGAGCACCCTATGGAGAGATCCATGGCTCACTGGTAGCCGCGAGTGAGACAAGCGACGGCGGGGAGGAGACGATCGAATCGATCGACCTGTCAAGCGAAGACTTGGAGAAGGAACGCGATCGTGAACTGACGTATTCGAGTGCCGAGTTTTCTTTGCTGCAATATTTATTGTTGTTTTCTGTTGATGCTTGTTTGAGTTCTGTTGTATATTAAAGTTTCGTTTATGCCAAACCGGAAACGTAATTATATGCATAAAATGAAATAAAATGATAATGAAGAACGATGAAATTAAGAATGGAAAGTCTCAATCCTAAAAATACTATAAAAATTTCATTAATTATTCACACGTTATTCTTGAAAGTAATTGATTTGTCATTTCATAATTAATGGATCCATTTCGTTTATGCTTGAACTATTCTTAAATTTACGATTTTGATGTAGGACACGAGATAAGTTTTCTCACATTAAAAAAAAGTAAATTTTCAGTTCTTTTCCCCCCCAGAATATGTGGTTAGAGTATTAATTCAATTAAATTGTAAGTATAATATTTTTAGTCTGTATAACGGATGTACCTTTTGACCTGTTCGTAGAACAGAAAATTGATGCATGTTGCAAATCAATGATGGATCTGACACATTAAAAAACATTCGATAAAGCAATGATACTTTGATATCAATAATGATACTTTGTATTATGTAATGATACAAAGTACGGAAATGGACAAATTAACTAAAAAATTAATTACAAATTTTAAGTAAATGTTACGTCATTTTTCAAGCAGTCTCTACCTTATTTCATTACAATATGCTATTTTATTTAGACTCGTTATGAATAATTACTACAAAAATATAAACACGGAAAAAAATTTTCATTTTCTATAAGATATTAATTCTTATATATTCGTGTACGATATTAAATGGTTTGGAAAATCGTAATAAACATCGAATGTATTAAAATCAGTAGAACTGTTCATATACATGTGGGATTCTTGCCCTTGCAGATTGGAATATACGAGGGAATCCCCTGACGATGAAATAAAACAGCGGGAACAGATGTTTAAAAGATAGTTTATTGACTAATACTTCCAAGTGATCGACTTTGGCGCAGGGCGACGACTGACTCCTCAATCGGGTCCCCGTCTTAAAAACTACCGCCTGTTTACGTTATCCCCGCATCGCGCGGTCTCACTCACGCGCCACGCCTCTCACTCACCACACTCGGCCATACCTGCGAATTCTTCGGACACCGAAGCACACTCTTTATACGGTTTCATATAATCAGCCGCGGTCGTGGTGAAGCTCGGTCCTTCTCCTTTACCCACACGAACCACTTCGTACCTGTTCCTTCCATGATAGTTAACCACTTTATATGGTCCCAAGAACTTTTTATGAATCTTTAGGCCCGTGCCGAATTGTGTACGCTTTATTACAACTAAGTCGCCTTCTTTGTATACATTAGCTTTCTTACAACTACGATTATAACTACGTCGGTTCTCCTCTTGAACCTTTAACAAATTTTCTTTCGCTACGTTCCTTAATTCTACGCGTTCATCCGTAAATTGCGCTATCGCTTCTTTCTGTATCAATGCTAAAAGGGGAGTATCTTCGCGCTGTTTCATCTTTATTCCAAACATTATTTCAAAAGGTGACCTGTCTATACTACGTTGATATGTACTATTAATTGCCCTTTGAACTTTGTCTACTTCTTTGTACCATTTGTCCGGCGCATCTATTGACAATTTAGTTAAAATTGGAATAATAATACGGTTAATCCTCTCGACTTGCCCGTTCCCCCTTGGGACACCGGTAGTCGTTACAATATGTTCGATTCCTTCCTTTGCACCATAATCTTTAAAATCTGTCGAGGTAAATGCCGTTCCTCGATCTGTAATTATGCGTCTCGGGTTGCCGAATGTCTTTTGTTGTACGGTCAGTCTGTCTAGTACTTCCTTTGTCGCTGTTGTCTTCGTGGGATACAACCACACGAACTTGGAGAATCCGTCCACTATAACTAAAATATGTCTGTACATTTTACTCGTCGCCGTCATTGGTCCTATATGGTCTATGTGATATGTCTCAAGAGGTCTGTCTCCTTTTGGGATCGGCTGTAACAGTCCCTCTCTCTTCCCTTGTTTACGCTCCGCTAATAAGCATGGTATACAACAGCTGATAACTCTTTCTATGTTTTCGTTTAAGTTGGGTATGTAGAATTCCTCTTTTATCCTCTCAGCTACCTTACGCACTGAAAAGTGCCCGTTTTCATGAACTTTTTTAATAATATTAACCTGCATACTTGTAGGTAAAACTATCAAATTCTTATCGTTTACGCGCTTCATTAAAATATTATTCTCTATTAAATAATCATCGTAAGGTTCCGTTTCTAATACGCGGCGTATAGCGTGCAGTCTCTCCTCCTCCTCTTGTTTTTTCCTAACACTCTGTAATAATGTGTCTTCTATACACATCACTGGGAAACGACTTAACGCATCCGCATGCTTTAACTTTTCTCCTGCGCGGTGCTCAACCTCAAAATCAAACTCCTCCAACGACAATGCCCATCGTGCAACTTTCGGCGACAAATCTTTCTTTTTGAGGGTCTTTTGGAACGCTTGGCAATCGGTAACTAATTTAAATTTAACGCCTAACAGATAAACTCGAAACTTTTGGACCGCTCGGATTATCGCTAAAATTTCTAACTCGTATGAATGGTATTTTCTTTCGGCTTCTGTCGTTTTACGGCTCATAAAATATATCGGGTGACACTGCTTCTCGTTTTCGTATCGTTGCAACAATACGGCACCTAAACCTTCCATACTCGCGTCCGTATGCAATTCCGTTATGGCTTCTGGATCGTAGATACGAAGTACTGGTTCTTTAGCCAAAAGATATTTTAATTCTGAAAATGATTTCCTTTCAACTGTCCCGAAAGCAAACGTTCTATTAGATTTTAGCAAATCAGATAAAGGTTTTGCTATACTGGCGTAACCTTGAATAAATTTACGGAAATATCCGGTCAGACCTAAAAAACTCTGTACATGCTTACGACTTTTTGGCTCCGGAAATCCTTGCACTGCTTTTATTTTTGCCGGTGATGGTCGAATATTCCCATCTTGTATCAAGTGCCCTAGAAACTCGATGCTTTTTTGGAGAAATTTACATTTTTTCCAATTGATAATCAATCCGTTCTGAACTGCCACCCTTAATGTTTCCTCTAACTTTCTGTACGCATCCTCATCATCGATACCCGGTATGATAAGGTCGTCCACGTAAGCTAATGCAACTTTTCGTCTTATTAAGTCACCGAACACTTCATCGATAAACCTTAGAAAATTAGTAGGGATATTACATAAACCGAAAGGTGTCTTGAGAAACTCAAATTGTCCGTCTGGGGTAACGAATGACGTAAATTTTGTGCTATCGTTCGCTATCCTAACATGAAAGAACCCGTTCTTAAGATCGATTGTTGAAAATACTTTTGCTCGCGTGAGCGCATCAATACAGTCTTCAATCAAAGGCATAGGGAAACGATCTCTTACTATTTTCTCGTTTAGCTTGCGATAATCTATACAAACTCTATAGGTTCCATCTTTTTTTGGAACCACTACTACAGGACTGCTATAATCGCTTGAGCTCGGTCGAATTATACCTTCCTTTAACCACTCATCTATCTGCTGCGACACTATTTGTTTTTCTTTCGGAGCCAGCCGTCTTGGTTTGGAACAAACCGGAATATCGTCTGTCAATGTTATTCGGGTTTCCGTTCGCGCGTTTGTCTTAACGTCCGGTTCGTAATCTCGTATCAGTCTTTCGATGTCCGTCTTGTATGGCTGTCTTACGTTAATCTCATTAGTCTCTATATAATTTATTTGCATCAGTCTACTAATATCATCAACTTCTTCTGCCGCCCCTTTACCGCTTATTTTTGCCGATACATCGCCGTTCCAACGACCGCTTTTGCCGCTCGTCTTAACCGGTCCTTTTTCCGTTCGCCGTATCTCTACTCGCCCCTTGTTTATACGAACGTCTAAACTTCCCAGTGACTCCCTTCCTAGAAGGACTTCGTCACGCATACTTGATTGATTCACGACAAACATTTCGGTCTGATATACTTCGTCTCCAATATCGATATGAGCCGTAAACTTTCCTATCGGCCTTGTGATCGCGTTACCAAATCCTGCGAACTGTCGAATGGTCTTATACAATGCTGGTTTTCCTATCTTTTCATACACTCCTGAGCTTATAACGCTTACTTCGCTACCCGTATCTAACAATGCATACACCGGTAACCCATTAATTTTGAGTGCGACTTTCTCAGCGGAAGTATGAATGGAATTAACGCCGGATACCCGTTTATCCGACTGATTCGTTCTACTACAATGAGGTGCTATATGTCCGAACTGATTACATTTAAAACATTTGAGCCCTCTCTCTTTATCCGGACACGCTCGATAATCGTGTTCAGCCGACCCACACCCGTAACAATGGTTTATCTTTACTGTTGCCGCGCGCGGCGACGCCATCTTTCTTCGTTCGTCTTGCCTATTACGCGTACTTTGTCCGGTACTTTCTTTAATTTTATCGAATACTTCGAGGTTCTTTTTCAATTCCGACAACGTTCGAGATCCGTACAATACTGCTTTATCGCGACGCTCGCCTTGTAAACCATCCGCAATATACTGAACGAGAGCTACCTCTTCGATATCGCCCTGATTCGCGATTTCCTGCATACTGTAAACGTACTTACGGCTAGTTTCGTTCGGTTGTTGTCTGCGCTTAAATAACTGCGAGTGAATTGTCGCTGGATTCACCTCCGCTTTAAATTCTTTAAGTAGCCCACGTTTTAAGCTATTCCATGTCTTGATGTCCCTCTCGAAGGTGATAAATTGTCTCGCAGATCCCTTCAGCATCCGTTTACCGTAGATGAATTTCTGCAACTCGTTCCACACCAATAGTTCACTTGTGTCTTCAAAGTCGCTAATCCAGTGATCTATCTGCAACTTATCGTCTCCGCTGAAGTGTGCTAGGCTGTCCTCAACATCCTTTATGGTAAATGACGCGACCTGTCGTGTAATCACGTCCTCTCCCTGCTGAGCTTCTTCTTCACTGTCCTCGTCTTCTCTCATCGCGTCCTTTAAACGATTTCTTAATTCCAGCTTATTACCGCTGGTGGGTAACCTTAATTTCCTTGCTGCTTCCTTCAATTCTTTTAACTTCATGACGCCGATCCGGTCATACGTGTATCTAACGACTTCACCTGTCTCGTTCCTCCCTCTGTCTTCCCGTCCTGGACGTCGCCTTCCTTGCGACGTGTTTTCGATGATTGTTTCCTCAAGCTCCTCCTGCCCACTTTCATAACTTTCCTGACTTCCTCCAGGTATTCTTACGTGAGCCATCACCCCTGCTTCTTGTAACTTTCACCTTTGCACCACCTTTAACAACTTCACTGTCACGGTACTTGAGTATTCGCGGGCGGTCAACTTTCCTCACGCGACACTTTTGATTGACTTCAACTATCTCACTCGTTACACTTTATCTGTCCTCCTGATTATCCCGGACGAGCCCCCAAATGTGGGATTCTTGCCCTTGCAGATTGGAATATACGAGGGAATCCCCTGACGATGAAATAAAACAGCGGGAACAGATGTTTAAAAGATAGTTTATTGACTAATACTTCCAAGTGATCGACTTTGGCGCAGGGCGACGACTGACTCCTCAATCGGGTCCCCGTCTTAAAAACTACCGCCTGTTTACGTTATCACCGCGTCGCGCGGTCTCACTCACGCGCCACGCCTCTCACTCACCACATACAAGTTGATAAAAAAAAATTACTAAATAATAAAAAAATCATGTATATGTTATCGGAAGATTACCTCAATATTTTTTCGATAAGTAATTTACCCAAGAAACCTGTCCCTCCTGTTATCAAAATGTTGGTGTTTCAAAGAATTTGGCAATTTCACTTTGTTGTTTCTTTAAATCTGATGATTCGGACATATCCAACGTATCATATAAATACGCATCACTTCCTTTAGATGTCATCTCGATGACATACCTGTTGTACACGTAATATACGTAGTACAGTATAATAATTACTTAATACAAATCTGATGGACACACAATCATTTAAATACGCGCTCTCCTTCTCGAGCTTAGTGAAAAACAATCAATCAGAACATTTGTAAAAAATCTATCTTAAGGGGCCATTCTACCTTGTAGGCGCGAAAAATACATGTTTCTTTGTGATTTTTTTTGCGGGCTATTAAAGAGCGATTAATTCCGTGTTTTGTAGATACATTTATTATATATTTAGCTATATTTACGAATTTTTGCAATGCATAATATCTATTGAGTACGCTGTTTTTGTTGATGAACATACAATAGTTTTTAAGAACGGCGCCTGACTGCGTATGTGATATCTTGCGAATAAGTTGTCCGAATTCCAAAAACCAACGATATTCTTAATGTAGATGAGTGTGTTTATAGCATGAACTAGGATATTTTTAAAAAAACAAAAAATGTCAATGGCAGCTATTTTACGAAAAAATACTGAATATTTTCATATATTCGGTTGCTTTTTTGTTAATAAAAGAAAAAGTATTGCATATATCGCAATTATCATTGTTCATGCTATAGGGAGACCAGTTCTAAAGATACCGTATAAATTTCATGTTGATATCTTGAATAGGTTTTTTGTTATCACATACGCAGTGCCGAAAAATCTAGTTTCGAGAAAAACAGCTTTAAAGTTTCACGTCCAGTTGTTATACCTGCGCGCGGTACGTTTCAGCAGGCTATAACTTCGTTATTTTTTCAAATTTCAATTTAATATTTGGTAGATATATTTGCGAGACTACATACTAAAAGAAAATGCAAAAAAAATTTGATTATTTAAATCCCACAAGGTAGAAAGGCCCCTTAAATCAATCAGAGCTAACGATTACAAAATTATGGATTTGTGAAAGAAGGCTACTTTTTTTTCAATACAAAAAATATAAAGACAACTAAAAAGAAATTAAAAACAAAATATATAAAGCATAAACTATTATATTAAGGAATATTACGGTTCATGAATTTTTTCAGAAACATATTCAGCTATTATTTTAACTGCATTCTGTTTATTATATCATAAATACTTGAATTTTTGTTAATAAAATAAATATTTCTATTTGTTTTTAGTTTAAATATGAAATATGCGTACACATATGAAAACTGAACGTATTGAAGTTTAAAAAATATTTAAAAAAGACAACATGCTATCAAATATCGGTAAAGAAAATGGCAATTTTGATTTAGTATTTCCTACCGGTCCCGAACTAACACCGATTGCAATTCTTCTGGTGTGAATTCAACAACGGTTAAGTTTCAACTGCGAACTGGTCTGATCCCGTTTCAATACCTTTAAGACGATATTCATTTCCTCATGCACATATAAATGTTACCACCTCCATATGAAAATTAGTGGATCATTTATTCTTGAACAGCAACCTTTTGGACTATAACCATGAGTATAATAGTACGTGAAAACTTGATAAATGTACTCAAAAGTAGTTCCGTAAATGATACTTTTGTATCCCCACCACTAGAGAGATCCCCCTTGAACCAGTGAGGCGAAGTGTAACCGGAGACGTAGCGGCATTTTTTAAATATCTTTATTACTTTCGTCACCTTCGTTTAAAGCCCCTGTCAGTGTACCACACAAACAAACACACAGACAAAATGTTGGCAATGTCGCGGATGCTTTACCAAAATTCGGTTCTAATCAACAGGAGTCCGGTACCACACGTATTTGAAAGTACTAACTACTAGTATAAACAAATATATTTTAATTATATCCATTTTAAAAGCATGTGCGCCCCTTTTCCGTATGAAAAATTAGGAAACATAATTCTTTAACAATTTTTGAAAAACACTTTTTCAAAAAATCTGAAAAAAGTACTCAATAATAGTTGTTTAAATATCGAGTAAAATTCGAAATTTAATTTAAATCCGAAACAATTCGTTACCTGGTTTGTTTTCGGTTACGCGACCGACCAGGAAGATTCTAGGTCGACGCGTCCGCTATTCAAAACATTAGAGGACAGAAAAACTCGGTTCTCGAGGTTTTCTGTAAAGTCACGCGAACGATAAATTAACGTTCGATTTTGAAGCAAGCGGTTTAAACGCCCGAGTTTAGAGAAGGTACGAAAATTCTATAATAGACAGAGACGGACGAGAGACACGGCGACAGCGCCGCGTGACGGAAGACTCTCCCCCCTCACGCGCTCACTTTTGGCAGCTCGTGCTCGCCCGTCACTCGCTATCAAACCACTGCCACGAGCACTTCGGTACACGAACACGCTCAGCAGTTGCATAAAAGAATAATTCGAACATTCCGACCCGAGTCGAGTTCTTCGACTACCCTCGGAGTTCCAAAGGAATTATTCGCGAGTTATCGTAGCGAGCCAGTCGGTACACGACCGAGCTCGGTACTCAAAATTAATTTAATTTGGAATAGACTCGAGGTTCTTCGAGTGCTTCCGGGGAAACGATCCCATAATCCAGGTGCGGGAAGAAACCCTGAGTGGATCAATCGTTTCCCCACGGATAGAGGGTTAAACTCAATCCCAATTTATAGGTGCGAGGTTCTTCGCGCTTTTCTTAGGGCACGACTCCATAATCCAGGTGCGGGAAGAAACCCTGAGTGGAATCATCGTGCCCTAGAGGATCGAGGTTCAAACTCCTTCCTCCAATTGACTGTCAAAAACGGCTTCGAACCCACCATACAGGGGTGAAGAGTACCCTGGGTGGATTTGCCGTCTTCTAGTCGAAGCGGGAGACATTTTTAAACCCCAGTTATCGGCGAAAGCTAGGACACGTCCCAAAATCGCCAGTGGAGTACGGTCACTGCGCGTAGGACGGCGACTCCGACAGCAACGTGGTCTCAGGCCCAACCGTAAGTCGCCCTAAGGGCGCCGTTGACAAGCCTGCACCACACAGTGCCCGTACGCACTTACGAAGGCGGTGAAGGGCCGGGGACCGGCTGAAAGGTTGGAGCCTTACAACCTCCCTCCGATCACCTTCTCCTGCGACAGTCATAAATTGAAGTCGTGAAATTAGACGAGCAGAAATCTCGTACACGACAATAATAAGCAAGCGATTCCCGATTTAACGGGAACGCTCACACATACAGTCCACAAGCTTAGCTGCGCATCGCGGCGGCTGAGATCCCCGCTCCTGGGTGCGACAAGCACAGACCAGACGAGCGCGGAAGAAAGTAAGACACACAGCGTGACTCACGTTCACAGGTATTTAACGCCTATTCGTGTCTCTTTCTGTTACAGATTTACCAAACAGGATTAACTGCAGCGGCGTCTGGCCGGGCAGACAACTCTTATCTAAGATTTTGTTTCCATAAGTTACTATGAATAAACGGCTTAGTCGAGTCATTCGACTAAGCGAAAATTAAATTGAAAATCTGTATTCTTTCCTCCACGTTCCTTCCCTCACGATCCGGACCACCGTTAGGCGAGGTTTTTTCAAACCTACTCCCCCTAACAATAGTCATAATGTTACGCTATAGCTGTAAAACTATGAGCATGGTCACATAAGTAATTAAGGCAATATAAAGCTTTTTCACCATTTATTAATCATTTTTTATTTTTTTTGACTACGTTCCACCCCTTCGAAAAAACTGAAAAAATTAGAGACTAGTAATTCGTTTGAGAGCTGTATACTGTATAAAAACAAACGTGGTCACTTGATAACTTCGACAAAAAAACGTTGGTAAAAATATTTTCGAATTTTTTAAAAATCGAATTTGCATCCGAAAATTCTGAAAAAATTCTCGAATATGTACATCAGTCGATAGAATAACCATAATTTTTTTCATAATTTTTAATTGAGCAGAACGGGAGATACTAAGGTTAAACTAAAAAATGATTTTCACCCCGTAATTACCCTTGTATTAGAGATACCGGGTTGAAACTCTGTAAAGAGGGTTTTTTTCGAACCACATATCGAGTGGTATTAACCTCGTTCAATTTGGTTTGGGGGCACTTTTACCATGCTTATTCGGTTAGGCCCTTTGCCCATCACTGATCACAGATATTACGGCTTCCAAACCGTCTTCTTCACTCTCGTTTGTAAAATAGTTTTGTATTTGTGAAGGAGCTGGAATTATTTTATTCCAACTATGCCGTATATTTTCCGGCATAACTTCTGCCTATGCGTGCACCAAAATGTCTATAGAGTCTTTTATATTATAATGGGCATACAATTCATTGACTCCACCCTCATATGTTAAAATTGAGCGGCACATTTGAGTTTGCACAAAATCTGAAATTGTGTGCCAAAATGTGTGCAATTTCGAGTGAAATGACTTAGTGGAGTTAGGGAAAGGTATTTAATGGCACCTCCAAACATGTACGTATTCGTATCTTCGCAAGGTCAGTGAATAGTACATTTATCGAACAGAGGTAGCTAACGAAACCTATCTTACAAGTGTTGCATTTTTTGATCACTTACAGGACGGTGGAAGCGTTCTGTTGCGTCGCAGACCCTCGAACGTCCCGTCGCGATGCAATATACCACTTATTGTTAGGGTAGGCCCAACCACTTGCTCGCCTCTTTATTAGGCATTTTTCGTCACCTGGGCAAATGATATTCTTAAGGCCAGACGTCGGCTAGGTGGTTGGAGGCGCCGCTCGACCACCCATATTTCCAATATGTTTTCATTCGCCCTGGTGCCTCTTAACCGACTTTCCTTTTCCAAAACAGCCTTATGCACACCTCCACTCCTTTTCCTAGATCCCAGCCTACATTTTTCCCAACTAGCCAATGCCTGATAAACCACTCCCAATTTTCCATTCCGATTCCGGCGTCTCCACCCACTAAAATTAGATATATAAGTGTGGGGGATCGGTACAGGAGAGGGTTGTAATAATCTACTCAATCCACGCCACTGGTTAACTGCGAGAGCAATGGAATTTATTTGAACGTTGCTTGCAGTATGCGTATATGTATACGACGGTCAGACAAAGAAACGCGCTGGCGAGGTGCGA